TGCAGAAAAAAATATTGGCTACATCGGTTAATGTACCTGTATGGCACAGAAAAACTGCAGAAATAGTTTGATCATAGCCGCTAATGTTTTGGAAAATGTATATTAATGTGGTGAATCTGATTTTGATTAGTTTGAGTCCTGTACTTATATATTTTATTATTATTAATTTATGCTTTATATACTTCTAATTATTGAATTTTTTCATTAGGAATTTATTTTATTCTGCAAAGCAATAGCTTTACTGTTTATAACCTATATTTATATATAATGTGCTTATACCTTCCATAAATAGTTTATATTTTATTTTTTTATTTTCCTCAAAAACAAATCATGAAGTAATACACCCTATAAAACATTATTCGCCTTCATAGCGGATAAATCAATAATACCTATATAAAATAATGTAAGAGAGTCAAACAGATTGCATACATTTCATCCCTGAGAGAGACGCATACAGTCAAGAGACTGCTTTCTTTCCTGTAAAACCATGACATCAGTAATTGTTTATTGCTATATTTTTGTTAATTTCACAGAAAAAAATATGGGGAAAGTACTATTACCTTGTCAATACATAGGCGAAACTTTTATGAAAAATATTTTTTTTTCGTTTAGGCCTTCGTTTTTCGTCAAATGAAAGGTATATTTCTAAAAGAAGCTTTTTAAGCAAATTTATCGACAGCCAAAATAAGTTTTATTATATTGTAAAATACATATTATTATATTGTGCTATTGTGGAATATTTTTCGTTTCTTTTGTCTCAACTTCGCGGGTTAAAATTTAGAATATGTATCCCTCGTATCTACATGCAATTGTTAAAATTATGAATGAATGTTGATTTTATTTAGTCTCGGAACTAATTTTGTAGTATTTAGGCTCCACCCTTAAGTTGTAATTTTTACTTTCCTATCTGTATACAGATATAAGGAAAGTATAGGAATCATGATTTTTTTCGACCTCGAGTTTTCGATGGATTTTTACGTTTTGAGGTCCCCTGAATCCGTTTTGACTATTTTCGCGATGATGTCTGTGTGTCTGTGTGTGTGTGTGTGTGTGGAAAAACACCAAATTTCAAACTTAAGCTTTGTTCCAGCGTCTAATGAGCTGATAAGATTTTGAGCAGAGTCGGAACATCTGGGGGGGTACTTTATGGGTGGTCATTTTTATATTTTATGGAATATATCTGTTATTTACGTTCGGGGAAGAAAATTCTTCAAATGAAAGTTACTTCTTATTTTATTGTCTATAATTTTTGTTATATACAAAATTTTCCTAAAATGGTCCGTATTCGCGAAATTTGACAAAATATAAAAAAAAATTTTTTTATAAAAATTGTTCAAACAAAAGTTGTTTGTAATATAATTCTCTATAATTTTTATCCTATAGATAGTTTCTCTAAAATGAACCGTATTCGAGATATTTGAGAAAATGTGTAAATTTCGAAATTTGAAGAAAACTCAAAAACGGATAAAGAAAAAAACATTAAATTTTAAACTTAAGTTTTATTTAGGCCTGACGTGAAATGATTAGATTTTTGACAAAGTCGGAACATCTGGGGGGGGGGGTACTTTATGGGAGGCCGTTTTTATATTTTATGGAATATATCTGTTATTTATGTTTGGAGAAAAAAATTGTTCAAATAAAAGTTACTTCTAATATTATTATCTATAATTTTTGCTTTATGTAAAAATTTCCTGAAATGGTCCGTATTCGAAAAATTTGACAAAATGTGCAAAATTCTGATTTTTATGAAAATTGTCGAAATAAAAGTTGTCTGCGATATCGATCTCTATAATATTTGTTCATATATGATTTTTTAAAATGGACCGTAATGGAAAAATTGTAGGAAAAGTTCTAAATTTAAATTTTTCAGTATTTTCATTTTCAATGAATATCTATAGAAAAATGTTTCGCGGTAGATGTATGTGGACAATGTATATATTTAGTTTATCCTCTAAACATTTATAGAGATGCTGCAATAGGTTGTACAAAATAACCGGAAAAAGCCTGTAATAACTAGATAGGAAAGTCATGTGTTGGACACATCAGATTTTTATACCTACTAAACTACCGCTGCCCCGCAGGTCTTTTAGTTTGTAATGTAAATTTTCCTCTTAAAAATAATGGAAAAACAAACCCAACAGACTGGCCGGTCGGTAGTGACAGATTTGGTGCAACGTTTTTTTAATGTAGAGTTAAAAATGTTGGATTGTTGAAAAGTATGATAATGTTTTTTTTTTTTAAATTATTTTAAAGTCAAAATAAATCAGTAGTTTTCGTGGACAGCAAATGCGATTTATTATCAATATAATCTCTAAGAAATAATAATAAAGTTAATCAAGCTGTTGTGTAGGTTGATATAGGTACCATAAAAGCAGGGCCGACTAGAGGGGGGTAGCCGGGACTAATTCCCGGGGCCCGGGCTTAAATAGGGGCCCTGTAAGGGGGGCCCGACAACAGGTTTTTTTGTTCTGCATGAGAAGTTCGACACAAGATGAGAGAGGGAAGTTAAGTTTTAGCCTAGAGAAGTTTTTTCGGCTGAGGACCTTTTTTTTTAGAAGAAGAGTAATTAAAGTAGATTTTGGAGTAGAGTATTTTTTAAAAAAAATTGTATTGCAGTAGAAGAGGAACAGTTTTTGGTAAAAGATTTTTTTGTCACGAAGCCCGATGTAGAAAATTGTCCTGGGGCCCGGCCTGGCTCTCGGCGGACCTGCATAAAAGTCCGTAACTTCGAACACTTTTATTCTAAGTATTAACATAACTTACGAACTAAGAGTAGGCAAATTTTGAAAAAAATACAATTATTGCTAGTGAGTAATAATCAAACGATTTACCAATGGAGCCATATTACCATCAATAAAGTTTTGCAAAAAAAAAATATATATACACTGTCCGAACTTAGGACAACATTTTCCTAATATCGGACATTTTATGTTTAGCCACAAATTTAATGTTAAATAATTTATCTTGATGTTAGGAAACACAATACTTAAGTTCGGACAGTACAAATTTTACTATAAGTTAAAAAAAAATTTAATCGGAATAAAATGAGAGTATGTGGTCGCCAACCTGTCGATTGCGAGCTACCGGTAGCTCGCGAAGGTAATTCTGGTAGCTCTCACAATGATTTTAATTTAAAAAATACAAACAGTAAAAATCAGAGAAGCTTCCGAAAATTCCACAAAAAAATCTAATTGTCATATTATGAAACATAAACAGCGACAACGTTGCGGTGAGCGATCTGCCGCTGACGCCATCAAGCTAGAATCGGCTAGAACCCACCAGCCGGACCAGCGCGTTAAGGCTTGCGCGCACTAGACCGGGCCAGCCGGCAACGGACCGCACGGCAACGGAACGGGAATTTATTCTTCCCTGGTACATAAACGAAGCAGCGCGCACTACTCGGCAACGAAACGAAACGTTGGGGCCGGTCGTCGGCGGAAATCTCGAACGAGAATACTTTCGCCGGTAGTCCGTTGTGTTCCGCCGTGAAGTGAAGTAGTGCGCGCTGTTTCGTTACGACGAAAGAGAGAAAATGGATGAAGAAAAATTAATTATCCTTGTTAGCCAGTACAAGGAACTATATGATTTTTCTGACAAAAATTATTCCAATCAGGAACGCAAAAATAACTGCTGGAAAAATTTCTGAGCACATGCGACAACCAGGTATGTTCAAATTTATTTATTTAATATAATATAGTTTTTAACATAAAAATAATTATTTATTTATTGAAAAGTTTGTGGAAAATATAACTTATAATGTAATATTATATTTACTGTTGATTTCTATAACCTTGTCGTACCATATCATTTTGCCAATCTACGGTCCCTATAGTACAAAAGTAATTTCTAAATTCTTCGCGGATATGCAATGCTTCTTCAGTAGCTCTACCTCCAACATTTCGTAAGTTTTGAATTTTAGATACATGAGTGGTTTCTATATTGTCACCCAGATCAATTTCTGTCGTACGTGAGTCACCCCGAAGGAAGTTATGTAGACAACAAGTGGCTAATGTTACCTAATCAATATGTTCTGGCGACATTTGAAGTCTCCTCTGATAAGTTCTAAACTTCTGTGTCAATATGTTTCTGTAAAGGAAATGCTTCGTCTCCCACAATAACATGTGGTAAAGTAATATTAGTTCCAGGAAGAGTTTTATTAGGGGGTATTGATAGGTTTCCATTTATCAAGGCTTTTCCCATAACAGAATTGCTAAATATCCCACCATCACTGTTTTTTCCATAAGCTCCGACGTCAGCTATTATAATTTTATAATTAGCGTCCACTAATGCCATCAAAACTATACTAAACGTCTTTTTGTAATTGTAGTACAGGGATCCGCTATTAGGTGGTGCTTTAATGACTACGTGTTTTCCATCTATAGCTCCCACACAATTTGGGAAGTTCCATTTTTGGTGAAAATCTTTCTCAATGGTTCTCCATAGATCTTCTGTTGGAGTGGGCATTGTAATTGGCTGCAGTTTGTTCCAAATTGACTTGCATGTTGAATGGACAATTTATCTTACAGTGGTATGGCCGAGTCTATAACTAAAAGCTATCGTTTTGAATGAATCTCCAGTTGCCAAGAATCTACAACAAAGAAATATCCCAACTAGCAATTTTGGTAGAAATTATTTAGTGACTACACTATACAGACAACTTTTTGATAAATTTTACTAGGTAGCCGACCCATTAACCACAGATCAATTGAATTAAAACTAATATGACAGATTGACCTCCTTTTTTGAAACACCCTGTATTTCTTAAAATAGGGAATATTATTAGGGTTTTTTACTAAATTATTAATTTTTTTTTCAGCATCCGCTTGTAAAGAAAGATGGTCGCGGTTGCGTGATAATTATAGAAAGGCACTGAAGTTTCGAAAGGGTAAAAGTGGAAACGCTGCTGTTAAAATAAAGCCATATAAATTTGAAGCAGAGATATCATTCCTGAAAAAATATTTGCCAGATCGAGATCAAAAAACAAATGTTAGGAATCGTTTATGTCTGCTGTTAATAGCCCAATACCTTCTGAGGATGGTGAAAATGATTTAATGGAAGACACTGTAGATCTGAGTGATTTAGAACTCTCAAGACCAGTCTCAACAGCTTCTAATAACAGTACAATATCTGGAGCAACACCTACTGCGGCTCCGAGATCGACTCCAAAGAGAAAGAAAGTGCAGCCTGAAAATACACAACCCAGTACAGTTGCTGACGTCATCGACAAATATTTACAAAGTACTACAGCTACTAATTCAGGAGGCAATAGTTTGAAACAATTTTTCCTTGCAATGTCTGAGACGGCTCAATCATTTCCACCTGAAGTTCAAATTGATGTTAAGGGGAAGATTTTTAACATCATACAAGAAGCAGAGTTAAAATGCTTACAACCTAGAAACACCGCGCAGTTTGACAATGCTCATTCAACTGAAATTCACTGCAATCAAACTGTATATCCACAACTACAATACACTCAACATTCGCAAGACATACAACATTCTTACCCAAAGCACATGCAATCTTTGGGAACACAACCTAACATGCCGCATTCAAACTTACAGCACATACAACGTTTCCAAAACACACTACCACCATCACATCCACAAAGCACGCTAGCTTCGCAACCACATCAATATTCGCAAGACAGTCAACTTTCATACACACAGCACATGCCACCTTTGGGAACACAACCTAATATAACATATTTAAATCTACAGCACACACAACATTCCAACACAGCACAACATTCCAACACAGCACAACATTCACATCAGCAAAACAGGCAAGCTTCGCAAGCACAAATTCAAAACATTCAATCTTTTCCTCTTCAAGACGTGCAGCCAACATATTCACCAAGATCGACATCTGTTGTAGGTTCTCCAGAATTAAAAAGTGACAACGAACATTAATATACATTAAAAAGTTGTACTAAAAAATAAAAAGTTGCTTCTAAATTGGTCTTTCAATAAAATATTTATAAACAAGATCGAAATAAATATAACCGAGAAAACAAGTAACAGTAAATACGATAGGTATCTAAGTAATAATAATAACTTACCTTAGGGTCACTGCTAAGCGTTCTGCTGGTGGAATGGAGCATCTAAACGTTGTATTTTGTTTTGTCAGATCAGGTTTTATAATACTCAAAAGTTCTTGAAATTTTTCGTAACTCATTCGGAAATACTGAAAAAATTTTTCTCCATGTTCTACTAATTGAGGAAATAAAGTGGCAAATTCACTTTCGATTTTCCTCTTTTTACAGATTTCGTGTACCCATTTTCGTTTTCTTTTTTGTTTAACTACTTTATTCTGTTTTTCCTCTTCCTCGCAGAGTAAACTTATAATTAAAATCTTTGGATCCATCGTGTCTGAGCGACGAGTGGCCGGTGACTGGAAAAAATTATTTACCGGCTAGTGCGCGTACCCTAAAATATTGCCGGCCGCCGTCACGCGTTCCGTTCCGGGCTGTTGCCGACAAGTGCGCGCAAGCCTTTAGTATTCGAGAACGATCAGGATTGCTTTGAATGGGATAAATACGCACGGCGCGGCGACATTGCGCTTAGTTTAAAACTGAACGCGTAACCAACGTTCAGCGGTTGGGTTAGTAGAGAACAACAAAAAATAATATTATGGCAAGCAGTTGTAAAAAGGAAAAGACATACCACTTTCATTCGGAATGGGAAGAACAATACTTTTTTACAGAAGTTAAAGATAAAAATGTGTGTTTGTTATGTAATACTTTGGTATCCGTTGCTAAAAAAGGAAATATTGAGAGACATCATAAAATTGTACATTCTAATTTTGAAAAATCATTCCCGCTACATTCTGCCGCCAGAAAGGAGAAACTGAAACAGTTAAAAAAGCAGTTAATTGGACAAAAATCAATATTTTTAAGAACAGTCGACAAAAATAAGGCTGCAACCAAAGCATCGTACCGTGTGTCCCAGATAATTGCACAAAAAAGAAACCTTATGAAGACGGGGAAATGATTAAACAGGCGTTTTTAGAAGTTGCTGATTCGTTATTTGCCAACTTTAGAAATAAACACGAGATAGTTTCAGCTATAAAATCTATGCAACTTTCTGCTAATACAGTGATGAGACGTGTAGAAGTAATGAGCAATGATATTTTTTTACAGTTAAGAACTGACTTAGATAACTGTGTTTATTTTTCACTTCAACTGGATGAATCAACAGATGTCGTTGACACTGCCCAGATGGCCGTGTTCGTCAGGATGGTTTTTAGTGATTTCACGATTAAAGAAGATCTTTTGAAGTTTATTCCACTAAAAGGACACACTACTGGACAGGAGTTGTTTTCTCATTTAAAAAATATTATTTCTTCTGTTATGTTGTAATCGTCACTCGCTTTTAATAATTACAATATTTGATTAGTTCAAATATTCCAATATATTCTAATACTTTTTGAGCGCCCCTCGTATTTAGAAATATAGATATTATGTTAAAACGGGAATTTGTCTTTGTCTGGAACATTCTACCAATGATGCGCTTTCTCTAAAAATCAATAATTACGGTCAGATTTTGTGCGCACGCCTGGCTTACTTATGGATGGGGAATATTCACGTTTTCACACATTCAGTCAGCTGTTGGCTTTTGAAATTTCTTTTCAATTTGGCTGCGAAATAAACCGGTTGGGTTTAGTGTTGTTAAGTATGTCCGAACAACTAAGGTAATCAAATCACCTTTTTTCTTATAATTAATGATAGAAATTAATTTTATTGTGTGTGTATATTCTGCTGAAATTGTCTTTGAGATGTTTCATTCATTAATAGTGAGATTTTCGCGTAATATAAATTCCAAAATGTACAAAATGGCTGCCATTAATTTTATATTTTTTTCCCTCAGTTATTTAAAAAATCTTTCCATTCTTCATGTATTTTAATTTAAATACTATTGCAAATTTCTAGTATTGTTGTAAACTTGAAATGTTTAATTTTAAAATGTTTAATTTAAATAGTAAGCTTTTGTGGCTGACCACATGTTTTTTTTTTTTGAAGCAATGGAAAGATACGGTTTTTTTTGTTGTGACACATACGTTTTTTCTTTCTTAAAACTAAGGAACTGGATCTGTAACAAACTAAGGAACTGGATCTGTAACAAACTAAGGAATTAGCCTTTATAATCTAGAACTGCAGAATCTCTTAAGCTTGTCAGCTGAGTTGCCTCTAGAGCTGCGGAATATCTTTTGTGGGATGAGTTGCGTCTGGAACTGCAGAGTGTTTTGAAGACATCGTAGGCTCACCTACCATTAAGACCCGGACCAGACCAGTTCGACCGTTTAAATCCGGAAACACAAGATAAGTGTCGGCCAGGACCACACACACAATTTTTGAGTCATAGTAATACTAGTCAATTTTAATTTTAAACTCATCAGTCAAATAACGTAAACCGTAAAATTTGTTAAAATCAATTAATTTTATTTTTTTTATATGTAATATCAGTCATCAATCAAATTCGAAATTAAAGCCGATTAATTGTTTTGAAATTTAAGTTCTTTATTTTTTTCTTACTTTCAACTGAACAAATTTACTTTTATTGTACTAAACGTATGGCGCCCAAATTAATTTAATTGAATTCTTTTAAGTCTTTTTAATTAAAGACCTTGTCATTGACTTGAAGGTAAATTCTAAACGAATCCCACTGACCTATTTTGATCTGAGCTAGGCCTGAGGCTTGTAAGAATTCTTATTATAAGGATTTTTACAATGAGACCCAGGTAAGGGTTAGAAACGTATCATCTGGTGCAAAATATGTTTTTATAATGTAACTTTGAAAACATAACATTTTTTATAAAACGTAACACTTCCGAGAAAATTCCAATATCGAAAATGGTAGGCTTGACAACCGATGGCGCTCCAGCTCTGGTGGGTTGTGATAAGCGTCTGGTGGCATTATGTCGTAAAGATGAAACTTTTTCTCTGTTACCACTGCATTATCCATCAGCAAGCATTATGTGGAAATTTCCTGAAACTAAATAACGTTATGAAACTGGTGGTAAAAATTGTGAACAAGATTAGAGCTCAAGCGTTACAAAGAAGATTATTCAAAACCTTGGCCGATGAAGTTGACTGTCAATACGGGGACCTACTCCTTTACTCTGAAGTCCGATGGTTAAGTAGAGGACGGATGCTGAAACGTTTTAATGATGTCCTATCTGGCATAGTTCAATTTTTCAAACAACGCGATGAACCGGCTCCGGAACTAGAAAATTCAATCTGGCTTAGAGATTTTGGTTTTCTCGTGGACATTACAGATAAATTAAACGAACTTAATTTGCAGCTACAGGGGAGAGTTAAAGAACTAGCGGAAATGATTTCTGATATAAAAGCATTTATCAAAAAGCTGGAGTTTTGGGAACAAAACCTAATTAACAGCGATGCCAAGCATTTTCCTATTCTTTCAGAAAAAATATCTCAAAATCCATTATAACCCTATGACAGCAAATATCATGTAGAAATAGTTTCTACCCTGAAGAATAACTTCAAAAATCGTTTTAAGGATTTCAACGAAATGGCTTTAGTAGTGCAGTTTGTTGTTTCACCCTTTATGGAAATTGATATCCAACAGTTTGCAACTTGTGTTATGCAGAACTTTGGCAAAGACATCGCTGCAACAGATATGAAAGTAATTGAGTTTTAAAATGATTTAGCCTTAAAATCGTTATTCTCAAGTACCAAATGTATCTGGCCTATTGTAAGTAAAGACAAATATTCAGTTCTATGCCGTGTTGCCTTGAAAGTGAAAGCATTATTCAGTTCAACCTATTTGTGTGAATCTTCTTTTTCCAATATGAAGTTTATTAAGAACAAATATCGCAATCGACTTACATATGAACATTTGGATAATTGTATTCGAATGGCTGTATCAAATTATACTGTACACATTAAAAAAATTATCAATGAGTCTGAGTGTCAGCCTTCTCATTGAACGTGCTTTTTTATTTTTCAATGTTTATGTTCATGATAGTGCGTTACTTTTTTGTTGTTATTATTAACTATTTTTAAATCTTACGTAACATGCCGTTGTGGCTGGATAAAAGTTTGTGTTTATTTTTCAAACACCTTCGTTTGGTAGGTAAGAACAAGTACGTACTAATAATATTAGTTATTTTGTTATTAGTTTATTATTAGTACCTATTTATTATGTATTACTAGTTAAATAGTAAAATAAATACATATAATGATAAATTAACTGTGGATTATTTCATTTACGTTGCGTTACGTGGCTTCCGTGTGGGTAGCTCGCTGTTTATTCCAAAATTAACAAAGTTGAGAGGTTGGCGACCACTGGTCTATAATATTACTTCAAAGTATTTATTAAATTATAGTGCTTATAATTAAATTAACAAAACATTGTCGATAATAAAACATTGCCAATAATGAAACATTGTCAAAAACATAAAAAAACAAAAAATATTATATGATTAAAAATTAACAAAATATTCTGATAAACATTAAAATTATTTAATTAGAAAATAGTAAATAAATGCTTTCCCCTACGAATCTGATAATCATTTAAAACATGGCTTATTTGATTAAAATCTACTAAATTAATGTCTAATAATAATAATTATTTTTTTTTGTGTCATCGGCTTCATCCTAAGGTTATTTCGCATCGTGTTCTGTGTAGGCTTTGTTACTGTTTCCCAGCGCCACTTTAGGAACAGCACTGTTAATTAGAACCCAACAGTGAATGGTCGAGTGGGGAATCCCCAAGGCATCAGAATTAATTTTAAATAATTAAATTAAATGAAAAAATTCCGGCCAACGGTGGGATTCGAACCTGGGACCATTGGATCCACAGGCAGAGACTCTACCACTGAGCCACCCACCCCGTAAATAATAATAATTATTATTATTAATCACAATCGGTTTAGGCATGGCCTTTTT